ACTTCAATGCCCTTCATTGTATTGCCCTTGTCAACATATTTTTAAAGAGTGTATAATTGATTAAATACCGAAAATATACATCTTTTAAATTATTTTACTAAATAATATTTATCATTACACTTATTGAAAAGTATTCTTCCAAAAGATATTGTTCTATTGGGTATACATTTAAATTAATAACAGTTTTTGCAAAAACCTATGACATCATACGAGGATGGAAATATCTTAATACAAAATTTCTATGATTTTTCTCAACAAATCGTGTATTAAATGTCTAATTTTATCGCAAATAATCAACTTTTTCCATACCGTTTCCAAGTCAAAAATAATCATAGCACTGTGACATTTCCCGAACATCCATTTATTTCGTGCTAAAAAAATCATGTTAATTTTCTCCATACTTCAAATATACTTTTATACTTCAAGGTCATTACCCACTACAAATAAATATTTGTGTATTTGGCTTGTGAAATATTTTTCGTCTTAATAGTTGGTATACTATGTGATCAAACATTTCATTTTGAAAGTATACATATTTTTAAAAAGTGAAGTAATTAAAAATGTGAAAAAAGGAGGAAAGATTGTTTTTTCAGCTCTTACCAGCGAATTTTATTTTTCTGTTCCGATTGAGTATGGGAAAAATTGAATGGTCGTTTTATATAATTTGTACAATTTTTTGTTAGGAAAACGATGTTTATTTTATTTTTTTAACATGCAGATATCAATGAGTGTGCCAGTAACCCATGCTTACACGGAGGTGTATGTGACAATTTGATAAAAAGATATGCTTGCTCTTGCCAACCTGGGTATCTTGGAACACGCTGTGAACTTGGTAAATAGTTGTACTTTGCGTAATTTCTATCATGTTATCTTTAAAGATATCTTTAAGGGGCTTAAAAGAATAAGTAAATATAATACTTACATAACCTGCATCGAAACATAATCCTAGACAGTGATTACATAACATATCAAGAATATGAATTATCTCGTAAAATATGACTTTTTATTACCAATTAACATGTTGTGCTTGAAAAATAAAGTTATATGTCATAAGAATTTTCTTTCTATTATTGAACATATCTTTATCTGTCTATACTTTTCAAAAAAGAAAACAACCTTTTCTCAGAAATAGTCTATATTGGTTGAATTGTCTAAAATGAATTACATGATGATTTGTTTTTGTTTATTATTCTTTCCTTCATATCTGCTTACAGCAAACTAAGATTGATAGGGGTAATAATATTGTTTTGTCCATAAATAATTATTATCATTATTGAAATGTGATTGGAATTTTACTAATTTCTTTTTAGTAAAGAACTCTAATTATCTTATCTACTTTCTACATTCTACGACCATTTTAACTTTTAGCCCGAGCCAGTCACTTTACAATGCACATTATTTATGAAAAGAAAGTAAAAATAAAATAGTTAGAAACGGAGTACTCAGCAAATACAATCTATAATTAAGTCCAATACATGACATCGAATGCTAACTGACGTTTAATACGAGTTTTAGACCAGTATTTTCATGTAGAAATGTCTATGATTTTTTGCCCATTCCCCGATCATTACAAGATGCACAGGACGGGTGTGACTGATCGAAAAGGAATTTACATTACAGGCCCACGAATCGAAATGTTTTTCTCACGTGTTTTTTTTTTATTGTTTTCTTATGAAATTACTACAAGTGGTACACATTCTACAAGTGGTAATCCAACTTATACTCATAGTTCCATGTCTAAAGAAGAAATTCTTCAAAATCATATGTCCGTTTTTAATATTTCCAATATCCCGAAGAACCAAAATGATTTTGAACTACCATATATATATTGGATAAGAATCCTTACAAACAAAGATACATTGTGGGTTCCAGAGAATTTTCATCCAAGCCTCTTTCTTTACTCCTCTCTAAGATATTGACAGTAGTGAAGGAAAATATTCTAGAGTACTCTGCAACAATATATTCAAGAAGTGGTGTGAATCAGATGTGGATACTAAAAAATTCCAAAGAACTTTTGGACAATTTGAAATCACAACATTTTACCAAAATCAACAGCCTAAAAACTTACGACTTTTCAACTTTATTCACAACCATTCCCCACGATAAATTAAAGTCCAGGCTTTTTTATATTATTGACAGCTGCTTTTTAAATAAAAATGGAACTCGTAAATTAACTCACTTGGTCATTGGTCATTTGCAAAATTATTCTTTTAAAACACACTCTGATTGCACACACAAGTACTCAGAAGTTGACATAAAAAGATGCTTGAGTTTCTGATTGACATTATCTATGTGGTTTTTGGAGACCAGGCCTTCAACAATCTGTTGGAATTCCCATCGGTACCAATTGCGCTCCGTTATTAACAGACCTTTGTTTGTATTCATTTGAAGCAGAATTTGTGAAAAATCTTATGCGTGAAAAGAAGAAGACACTTAGTGTGGCCTTCAACTTCAACTCTTAGATATATCGACGCCTTATTGTCAATTAACAATGATTATTTCCAAGCCTAAATTAATACGATATATCCTGATGAGCTTGAGAGAAAAGAATATATTTCACTTGATTCGATACGCAGGAGCATGCTCTACGTATGAACAATTTTTAAAACGAGGTAAATTATTGACAAACAAGTTGATGAAACAAGAATATCAGCAGTCTCGTTTAAAGTCATCATTTTGTAAGTTCTATGGTCGATACAATGACCTTGACAGCAAATACAATTGATCATTGAGTCAAATCCTGACTGACGTTTTTCATAATAATTGTTAGTCCATTATTTATACACTGAATTGACGACGGATTTTTTGCGTTTTTTCTCGATCATGACAAGGAGCACACGGCGGGTGTGACCGGTCAGTAGGGGATGCTCACTCCTCCATGGCACCTGATCTTACCTCTGATGTTCTAGAGGTCCGTGTTTGATCTGCTCCTATGTTGTATTGTTTATGGACTGTGACATTGAATATTGTTCGTTATCTGCATATCCTTCATGAGTAGGATTTAAACAAATTTACTATATTAAAAAATTATTTTTTTTTCAAATGTTAAAATTCAACCTCCAGTATAACAAACAGGATGTAAATAGCTTCAATATATTACTGATTTTATTCAGCAAATGTTTAATACAAGCTAATTCATTTGAATTGAACATTGTCAGAATTTTTTAATCATTATTTTTTTAGCATTTAGAATAATTCGTTGTTTATCTTTATTTGTGTAATAGTTTTTCTTTTTTTAATTTCTTTTTATAATTATGTAGATATAACATATTTAGAATGTAGTTATTCCCTAATTCAAAAGGTTTATAGAATGAATATTTTTGTACATTTTTCTTGTTTAAAAAATGAACAAAAACAAATTGGAAAATAACTATCCTCAGTGTGGTATGTGCGACCGTTAATGCTGAGTTTCACAGGCAACGCAGCTGGGACCGGTATAAGAAAAATTTTCGACCGTAAAATCAGAATTAAGGTCGCGTTTACTCAATTAGAAGGTAGTTATTTCCATTCTAATGCACGCAATCTTTGAATTGTTTTCGATATTTTTATCTTATTTTGTTGAGTTGTGTTTTATGAACAATGAAAGTTATTTCTCATTTTACTGCTTCACACATCAGTGCATTAGCCAGTCAAAATACATTTTACAAACCATTTGCATTAAAATGTGATATTACTGGCAATATAACAAAACTATTTTTAATTTCTTTTAATATGTAGATATCAATGAATGTGTCAGTCATCCATGCATCAACGGAGGAACATGTCATAATTTGATTAACAGATACACTTGTTCTTGTCCACCTGGTTCTTATGGGACACGCTGTCAACTCGGTAAAATCAAATTACATACAAGTTGTCTTTTTACTATCGTTTATCAACTTGAGTTTCAAGAAAGGAGGCTGTCGCTTGATTTTTACCATCATTCAAAATATAAATAAATATACAAGAAAAGGCAGCTATTTTGTGCTACTGGTATTATAGTTCAAGAAAATACCGGTAAAAAATTAAAATCCACGGATAATAAGACTGCATTCAGAAAGTAAATAGATTATTTTGATTTTCAAATCAACAAACATGGAATGAACTATGAAATATACAATATTAGATGCATGTATATAGAGAATAATACATACTAAAATTCGTATCATCAGTCGTATCCGCCTGAGTGACACAACATCCACCTGAGGACCGAAGGACCGATCTCTGATATGGGACCCGAAGACTGATTTGACATATGACATGAATTTTAGTATGTAGTATTGTAATTATCATATTTTTAAAATACTTATTATGCGAGTTCACAAAAATGTCATTGAAGAATGTTTCATACCTGTTAATGATTTTCTTTTTAAATTTAACAGCGAGAGAAGCGAGCTCAATAAACTAACGTGTAGAACAGAGGAAAATAGGAATACAATAAGTACATACGTCAAGCAAATCTTTCTGAGAAACCTTCCCAGAATTCCTTTGCTACCAGGATTCCATGCGATAATGGCAATAAAAAAATAACATAAAACATAAACGGCTCTTGGTTTGTAGAAATCTTAAAAGAAACAGGAAAATACTCTGCAATGACTTTCGTCAAAAATTGCACTAGCTCTATAGTTTCAACCAGACGCTAGGCTTTCTCTGTAAGCTCCGAAGCTCCGTGACGTCATGTGATATCACAGTTAGTCGAGATGTCTCGAGCGACTTTATGTTTGAAGTGGCTAATAAATTTTTCAGGTGTTTTGATATAACTGTGCTCGCCCCAACGGTCACACCGTAAAACATATTATAGTCTTTTTTAGGTAATTGAAAAAAATAAGACCAGAAAAATGTTATTGTTTTACATTTATATTTAAATAAAATCAAGTAAATTCACTTTCAAACTTAATGCAAACGTAGCTGCAGAACTGTAGCTCTCTGCTTGAGAAAATTCGGACAGATAAAGCAGAGAACTACAGATCCATGCATTTTAAAAACCTTCGATTTACGCCGACGATTTTTTGTCGCTCACTATGGGTATTTTTTCTTGTATCTTATGCTCTCCCCAGCTTTGGAAATAATTTTAAATGGTATTTAATAATTAACCATACATTCAACTTCAATTCCTAATCATTTACTTACCTCTCAACGCTAACAAATGGCAGTTCGCGGTTATGTACGTCGGAATGGAACTCTTTTAAACCGACATTTCAAAACTATACACAGGACTGTTTCGGACCGTTAAAAGGTGAACAAAGTGTCAAATATAAGAGTTTAATATATTATGAATTATTAAAGGATACTATTCTAAAAGGCAGAGAAAGCTTAAACTACACGAAATAAATACCTAAAGTAGTGACCAAAAAAAATCGTCGGCGTAAATCGAAGGTTTTTACAACGCTTGGATCTGTAGCTCTCTGCTTTATCTGTCCGAATTTTCTCATGCGTTTTTTTTTATTATTAATTTGTTATGAAAGTAGCAGGATGAAACAAATTTATTATATTAAAAAATAAATTTTTTTTTCGTTCTTTTCAAATGAAATAAACAAACTCCAGTATAATACACAAGATTTAAATAGCTTTTTTTTTCAATATATTACTGACTGTATTCAGCAAATGTTAAATCAAACTAATTCTTTTGAATTGAACATTGTCAGAATTTTTTTCATTAATTTTACATTATTTACAATAATTCATTTTTTATGTTCATTCGTGTAAAATAACAAAACTATTTTTAATTTCTTTTTGTATTTGTAGATATCAATGAATGTGCTGGCAATCCATGTATCAACGGAGGAACATGTCACAATTTGATTAACAGATATAGTTGTTCTTGTATACCTGGTTATTATGGAACACATTGTGAACTCGGTAAAAACAATCTACATAGTATTTTTTAGTTTTTTTTTCTCAACTTACATGTAAGTTCCAAGAAACAGGGGTGTCGCTTGCTTTCTACCATCATTTAAAATCTGAATTAATTTACAAGAAAAGGTTGCAATTTTTATGCTACTGGTATTATAGCTCAAGAATATATCGGAAAAAAATCCACGGATAATAAGACTGCTATAGATTCGGAGATTAGTAAATAAAATATTTTGATTTTCAAATCATCAAACCTGGAATGAATTATGAAATATAAAATATCAGATACAAATGTATATCTCTCAGTTGATTCGATACGAAAGAGCATGTTCTACGAGGGGCGTTCAATAAATAATGTCACTGGTGCTCGGAAAGAAACAAAAAAAAAAAAACACTTTTCTATGATTTAGTCTTAATGATTAAACTAAAATATTCTCTTTCAATTAAAACGCATATCCGTAACATTTTCATTCAATTTCTAATTGTTTTTCGAACACATTTTTTTGTATGACCCTTCGTATACTGGAATATGGCAGATCCTATGCTGTGCTGTACTTATTTTTTTCTTTCTGATAGATGATTTTCTAAGTTTAGGAAATGGAACAAGTCAAAGATTGAAAGATCTGGCAAATTTTGTTGGTGTGACAAAACATTAAATTTCTGTTTATCCCCAAAACTTCTTTACTCTTCATGGCCTGTGGGTTTGGACGCCTTCATGAAGACATTTAATGTAGTGAATTCCTCATTTTGTTTCCTTCCTCTCATTAACCTTTAATTTTTTTTTGCAAAAAGGTTGTTTTCTAGACTCCTCCGGAAATTTAACTTTATCCCCGATTATGAATTTGAACAACAAAACCGTTAATATTTAAGAAAATTGCATATAAAACTGTTTTATGCTATTGCAATTCTTTGCTCTTCTTAGGCCTTTGCAGTTTTGTCAAGTTCATCTTACTGTAAATTTGTTTTGAGGGCTTAAAGCAAAATGGAATCAAGTTTCATTATCTGTTAGAATTTCAAACAAACGTGAATAAGTACAATTTTTGATCTTTTAAAATAATTGTTTGGATATTCCTACACGCTGTCGTTTTCACTCATTTTTAAAAATATCGGGTGACCTTTGAGTATTAAACTTTTTTTACTATAAAATGTTTCTTTACATCAGTATGAACTGTCCCAAAAATGATTTTTATCAATTTTGCTATGTGTCTTAAAGTCAATAAAACATAATCAGTGATAATTTGTCAAAATTTCGCAAATTTACATCGGTTGTTGTAAGTCATTGTTGCCAAGGACGGTACCCATTTTTGTTGCCCATTATATAATATTTGTTTATTGACATCTACTTGTTCACCTGTCTATAAAACAGGCATTGGTTGCTGTAAATTTCACATATTTCAATTAATATATTTTTGGGATATTAACAAGTTTTACAATTGCTTTAATAAAGCGTTTAATTTTACTCTAGTTTACGGATTCTTGACCATTCATTTTTAATGCAGTGTCTCGAATAGCCCTTGTTTTCCAGCTTCCCACGATGAAATAATGCGATGAAAAGTGGTCAAACTAATTGTTGTCAATTCATTAAAGATTCAATAATGAGAGAAAGTCAAGCTTTATGTCATATGACTACTATCTTGTATGTCATCGAGCTAATGACATTATTTATTGAACGTCCCTCGTACGTATGAAAAATGTATAAAAAAGGAAGTTATTCACAAACAAGTTGATAAAACAAGAATATTAATAGTCTTGTTTGAAGTAATCAAAGAACGTTCTATGGTCGATATAATAACCTTGTAAGCAATACAATATGTCAGTAAGTCAAATTGAGACTGATGTTTTTCAAACTAATTGTTATGCCAATGTTTATACACTGATTGTTGACGGATTTCTCTGTTATTTCTCGATAATGACTAGGAGCACACAGCGATTGTGATCGATTGGCAGGGGATTGTCATTCCTTCATGGCACCTGATCCCACCTCTGATGTTTGAGAGGTCCATGTTTCCTCTGCTTCTAATTTAATTAATGGACATTAAACCTTATTGAAAATAATAACAGTGCTAATGTTTTCTCTGTCTAGCATTAACTTCCATCTATCTATCAAAATATTCTATCTGCCTATTAAGATCAACGTAATGATTCCATACTGAAAGACTTCATTATTTTACAAATTTTGTTAAAGAAGAAAAGAAAAAAAAGCATTGATTGTGAAAAATATATCTTCATGTTTTCATTTACATCAATATTGTTATAGACTAATCGGTATTCATTTGTCATGAAAACCTTTGAATTGTCAGAATTTCACCATGTTCGAATTAATATATTTCCAGATAAAAACAATCGATGTCACATAAGCAATTTTGTATTACGCAACCATTTATATTGTACATTAGAGTGGTTCAGTATGATCTGTTTCACGTTTAAAATTTTAAGAACGTTTCTTTAATTTGAGAGAGAGAGAGAGGAGAGAGAGAGAGAGAGTTGACTGATTTATATTCCGTCTCTCATGAATATTGATTATTCCACCTAAAACCAGTCTGGGTAGATGTGAAATTCCGGGCGGTGACACCTTTATTTTGTTGTTTTAATTGTGATGCGTGATATTAAGGGATTTTTCGGTACAATTGTGCTACCTATAATTATCATGCAAGTCTAATCAATTTTCCTCTTCTTGTAAAATATTGTAGTCAGTTTACAGCTTGGTAGAAGAATCACAAAATGGCCCAGAATAGGACTGTCTATATATTTATTTTTTGATATCCAAAAAAAATTAAGATCTAAAAATACCAGGTGTGTTAGAACAAGGTGTAGTAATACAGCGAAGACCCATATGTTGTTTTTTTTTTCCATTTTTTTCTTTAGATAAAGACGAATGTGCCAGCAACCCATGTATGCATGATGGAACGTGTCACAACTTGATTGTTCATGCCATGATGGATATCAAGGACCACGATGTCAACATGGTAAATGTAGTCTATAGGCTTCATTTCATACAGATACATTATAGAATGAATTCGGTACACCTGGTATTTTTAATCAAAGAACAAGGTTCACTTTTGCCTTATTTGGCCCTGTGAATTTCTGAAAAACTGAAACTACATAGTTTTTGTTAACAATGCATTGAATATCACTTAGATCTTTGGTGATTGCGTATCTATCAAAAATGACGTAATTTTCTGGCTAGTCAATGCATTATGACGTCACGAAATGCGTCAATTTCCTCATATTCTGAAAAAGTCTACAAAATCGGCCAATTTTGAAAGCTATTTTTCGATATTTAATATAGAGCGCAACCTCTGATCTAAAATATGCAACTAGTAAATGATAGAACTGTTTTTGAGGATTAAGAGACATATTTTATCTTTTAGATCAGAGAGTGCGCTCATATTATTTTTCTTCACTGAAAGTACTCAATTACACCTGTTTACCTAAAAATTCAAGAACATTGCAATTTCGTAAAGCCAGTTCTCCGAGATCTGGACGTTTAGAAGAAAAATTTTAATAGGATATGAAAACATGAAGTCTCTATTTTATTTTAATGCTTCAAATGAACAATCAAGTGTTAATCAATCAATTGGTATATCTACAGGGCCATTTTATGCATAAAGTGAACCGACTTCTTTCATAACTTAATTTTTTAAAGTTTCCTGACAGTAAATGCAAGAATATTAAAAGAAAAAAAAATAGATGTTAAATTTTTGACTTTTCTTTTGAACTTATCATGCCAGACGGAACATAAGAGGACTTATACATACGCTTACTTCGGATATACAATATTGTTGTCAATGATCTGTAAATAATTAATAAAGTTTTATAATTATGATAAAATGTTTGAAAATGTGTTTTCATTATGTTCTATATGCGTAGATAATTATTTTCATCATCTCTTTAGTTGGATTTCATTTGTGACCTTTTGACAGAGCACTGGGTGGAACACACTTATTTTGTAAAAAGGAAGTTCCACATACGTCTGAAAGACAAAGAAATCACTCTTTACAAAAAATTGACTCAGTATTTGAATAATTCGTTGAAAGAAATACTAGTAAGATACAGATGCTGAGGGCCAGAAAGATAGATAAATATATCAAATAGGCAGTTTTATTTTGTTAATTCAATTAAACTTCAAGAAGAAGAAACACCTTTCCTTTGAATGTCATTTACAGGATGTGCATTTTGAAATATGGGGGTAGCAGCAAAGGTGCCAAGTGGAAATTCATTAATTAATGCTTTCACCCTGTACAAATTCGGGTGACATATTTTATATTATTCAATTTCTTTGTTCCATTTTTATATGTTTTATTTTGAATTTACTTCTGATAAGGTCCTTGAGTGACATCTGGTTGTTGTCCAGGGCTTTTGGTATTGATTTTTCTCATTAAATTTATTCAACCTAATTTGCTAATATAACAACCATAAGAAGAAGAAAAATTAATGACTGTTGTTGGAATAATTTTTTTTGTAAAATGGGACATCAGTTTATAGTTTATTCGTGTTCCTGTTAACTGGCAGAACACTTGGGGTTACATTTTTGTGTTTTGTTACACAAATATTTTATTTAAACATGCTAAGATGCGTTATATGGATCATATCGCTTTATTTGTATATATTGGTAATTTACCGAGCACTTAGATATGTATCTAAAAATAGTTTAGTTTTTGGGATCCATTTAGTTTCTTAAATTTGAATTACTATACCTATAGTACTGGATTCCAAAACTCAATAAAAATCCTCACAAACATCGAAACATGTGGGGTTCCAATAAAAGTTCTAACAAATCTTTTTCTTTACTTCTCACTGAAATTTTTACAGCGATGAACGAGAAACGTCGGCAGTTTTGTACAACAGTATATTGATTTGTCTTTTGCAAAAATGTTTTGTCAGAAAACATCCTGTTTGTTCACACAGGTACTCTAAAATTGATATTTAAAAGAAGTTTGATTTTCTGATTGACAAGATCAATGACATTTTTGGAGAGCAGATCTTCTAGAATCTGTTTGAATTCACGTGGGTACAAAATGCACCTTGTTTTAATCAGACCTATTTCAAATAATAATAGTACCTCTTACTATTATATGTCGACTCGTATTATATCCCAGTAAGCTTGAAATTAAAGACACCACTGATTCTGACACTTTTCCCCCATGCTTAGGTATTTTAATAGAAAAAGACGTAAATGGTAACCCAGCTAAAAAAGCTTTATGATAAAGGTGATGACTTCAATTTTTTAACTTCCCTTATCCTTATCACATGCATACGGGGTAAATTTAATTCAGTTGATTCGAAAAACAATAAGAGTGCACTACGTATGAACAATTTCTAAAACTAAGCAAGCTAATGACAAACAAATTGATTAAACATGGATATCGACAGTCTCTTTTGCAATCATCATTTCAAATATTTTTTGATCGATACGATGACCTTGTCATAAAATACAACTCAACAAAAAGACAAATGCTGTATGACGGTTTTCATACTAATTGTTAGGCCTTTATTTACACACTAATTTGTCTTTTGTGAAGAAGCAGACGTCGGGTGTGTAGGGGATACTTACTCCTATACAACACTTCACCTCATCCCATCTCAGATGTTTGTGGTGATCTGTATTTGTTCTGCTCCTGATTTGTTTAAATGGACTTAAAGCTTGAATTCTGTTCGTTATCTTCGTATTTTACTGTTATATATAAAAGTTCCGTGTACTTGATCAATACAATTTACACGGCTCAAAGAGTGTTTGACCGGTCGACACGAGATGTTTACTCTTCCTAGGCACCTGGTCCCACCCATAGAAAATCCGGGGTGCGTGTTTATGCCTTGTTCTCAGGATTGTATTGTTTTAGTTGTTATGAGATAGATTGCAGTTCGTTATCTTCACTTTTTCATTCTTTTAGATATTAATGAGTGCGCAAGTAACCCATGTTACAATGGCGGAACATGTCACGATTTAAGGAACAACTTTACATGTTCGTGTCTGGACGGGTATTATGGACCAGTTTGTGAGCTTGGTAACATTATTTTGCTTTAGAATCTTAAAGCTTAGATTTTCTTTCAAAATTTGTAGTGAAATGATCTTTTCTGAATTAGGAATAAATGTGTATAATTTGATACTTCTTGATACTTCCAAAATAAGAATATGACAAAAAAATATTCATGCAGCATGCAGTCATTTTCATATATTAATCTTGCAAGTGTTATAACATAAGTTAATATACATATAGATACAGTGTATTAAGGCTCTAGAATCATCACCAAGAAAGATAATATGAATAGGATTTTGTTTTCAAAAAGAACACAAAATTTAAGCATGTAGGTCATTAAGAAATAATAATGTACAGGCCTAGATATTCTTAAATTCAGTTGACAATTTAATGATGTAATAATTCTTATAGCGTTTGAGCATGCATTCTAATTCTACAAAACCGGAACAATAATGATTTTTCACAATTGTTAACTCAAAAAACTTCATTTTTGACTTAAAAATTCCAACTTAACGTTCACAGAATGTACAAGGCCCAAAAACTGCGACGAGTATTAATGTACCACAGAAGAGGATTTCATCTGTATTAAATGCTATGGACAGGGCAAAGCTCCCGAGAATTCAATTTATTATACTTCGTCGGATCAAAAAAATTGTACAGGTTTGTGAGTAATAAGTAATGTAAATTGTCTAATAATTATATTGACAATTTAATTACATGTTTTAGTGCTGATTAGTGGGGAAATTAATTGCTGTCATCCCTTCCGTATCTTAACACTTTTATTTGCACACGAAAGTCTACCTATCCCTTTTTCTCCTTCAAAATGCGGAAATAAATTAAGGAACAAGTTAATCTTAGAATTAACTTTCTGAAAACCGATACTCAGTCGGACAGACTGGGAATCAAAGAGTTTCAAAGCCTGTCATATATATTACATTTTAGATCAAAGTCCGCCGAAGTTTACAAACTGTCCTTCAGAGATGGTACAGAAGTATGATTCAGGAAAAGGTTCCTATGTAAATTGGGAGCCGATACACGTTGATGAAAACATTGGCAACTTTTCCCTTTCAAGCAACGTCCAAAATGGTGCCTTCTTTTCTTTTGGAGATCATCCTGTTGTTTATAGGCAATTGATAATTCTGGAAACGCAAAGAATTGTACTTTTACAGTTAGAGTTATAGAGATAAAAAGTAAGTTACCTGATACAAAGCGGTATTTTATGGTCGTGTACACTGTAATTTTAGATGCATAGGTTTGAAAACATACCATTTGATAGGTTTTTTACAGGACTTTGAGTTAACTGGCATCTTTTATGCCTGCTCTTCTTCTCTTGTCAACGTCAAGGGGGCATAAAAACGCTTGCATTGTTTGTTTACTATTTTGAATTAAAAAAATAATTTTTTTGGATTTTACTAACACGTAAGTCTTCTTAACAATCTTTATAACCTTACGCCTTACACAAGTGTATGTTTAAATATTGGCTTTAACATTTTTTTTTTACGTTTTCCTGGTTTATTCGATTAGCTTACACTGCCCCCGCTTTAACAATAATTATTATTGATTTTGATAATATTTTATCTTTTATCACATCAAAACTTTCCAGTTTAAGGCCAACAAAGTCAATCATGTGATCTATTGTTATCTTGTTTTTGTCTTCTCCCGTAGTCTGTTGTGTTTAGATTTGAGCATTTTCACTTTTTATTTTTTTTTTTTTTTTTGGAGCGCTGAACCAATTTAAGCCAATATTTCTATGGATTTTAGAAGAAAATTTGTAAATTTAATGATCCCCCTTGGGTCTGAGGCGTGGGGTTGATAACATCAGTAGCAATGCAATCTTTCAACTCTTTTCTTTTATACTCCTAGTTAAAGTGTTTGCATAATTGTAATTAAATTGGAGTCCATTATCAAAATTGTTAAATTAATGTTGCAAATACCTGGAACAAAGGGTTTGATTTTATAAATGCATTATTTTGTTTTTTAAGGGTCAGCTCTGACCCTGTTTATTTAGCGATAAAAAGTAATGATTATGTACATGTAGTTATGCTAAGGAAGAATGCTTCTTTAATTTTGAAATTGGAAAATCCGTATTGCTCCTGTTTCAAAAATGATGAACAATTTATGTGTTTTAGTCAGAATTGTGATTTTTATGGCCCCTGGGTCAAATCCTCTGGTTTAAGGATAGACTCATTTGATAAAATTTTAAAAATGCATGAATTCTGTTAAATAATTCTGTGTGCTCCTTGGTGTTGAGAAGATGAACAACGTGCATATTCATGATTCCAAGGGTGCTTTCTTACGAAAATTTTAAAACTTGTGGTCCCAGGGTTAATTTATTTTTTTTTTGGGGGGGGGGTTGCTGCATTAATAATATGGTGAAAATAAAAATCATCAGCTATGTGCAAGATCATCATGAAGGTAATTCTGTGGAATTGGTGAATTTCGTGACCTTAGGTCTTATAGGTATTTTTATCAGATTTTTTTTTAAAAATCAGGACCATTTGGTCAAGTGCTCTTGTTCAGACAAATGCTTTATCAATTTGTATCTAAACAATTAGAGAAGTTATTTCACTTTTTTATAATTAATCACTGTAAATGATGTATTTGAGAAGTTAATAGAATAAAAGAAATATGTAAAAACAAATATTGTATTAAACTAAGAGTACTTTTATAGTTTTAATGATCAGGCAGACTCGTGAATAAATAGAATTAAGACAGAAATAACTTATCCTATCAAATGTTCTTCAAAGACCAAGTGAAGTCAATATGAGAGGTCACAATAAAGGGTTGAAAACTTACAGAGTAACTAAAAGTTTGTGAAAAGTCTGCATGTTAATAGTGATCAATGGGGTATACATTTTATTTTTGTCCCCCGCTTTCGCGAAAGCCAGGGGACATTAAATCTCATTCGTCTGTTCATCAGTCTGTGATTCTGTCTGTCCGTCACAAAAACTCTAATCTTGCCCATTACTTTTGATTTAGTGGAGCTATGATTTTCATATTTCACGTGTATTCCTTGTTAGAAGACCTTTCTTTTGGTACCACAAAATTTGACCTTTTGACCTTTACCTTGGAGTTTGACCCACTTTTACACAAAAATTCTGTTACTTTGGACATATCTTTTGAATGGTAGAAACTAGGACTTTCATGTTTCACATATGTATTCTTTGTGGCAAGGCCTTTCATTGGAAACCAACAACTTTGACCTTTTGATCTTGACCTTTGAGATTTCCGTACTTATGAAAAAAAACTATAACCTTGACCATTACTGTTGAACGGTAAGGGCTAGGGCTTTCGTAAAAAAAATAACATCTCACCCACAAAGACACCGAAAGTGGGGGGCCACAATTTTTTGAATTTGCTTGTTAATTTAAGAATTGTTTCTGAATGCTATACTCAAACTCAAACAGGTCCTCTAAATTGTTGTATTATACTCAGATAATGTTGAGAGTTTAGTGCCTCCTGTTTGACGAGAAACCGTGATTTGACTAATACATAATTTCAAATTAGAAAGCTTTGAGCTTCATTCAGAAATAAGAAAATAAATAATGTTTTATTAGTAAAAAAAAAAAATATTAATCTTAACCCTGTTAACTTAAGTTACGAAGCTAGGAAGGAAATATCGACATTCGTTTTATTTTTTAAGATAAAGCTTGTACAACTCCACCTGTTCCATTTCATGGATTTTTTGGATACCAAAACAAGGGAGCTTTACAGTGTTCCATACATTCCTGTGATGATGGGTATCTTTTGAAAAATAACGATTTACATACTTGTGAAAATGGGGTTTGGAATCCGGAATTTCCTAAGGATTTCATAGCCACATCATGTATCAGTGAGTAATACAAGTTTAAACTTTTAAAGTCAAGAGCGAAGTTTATAATATAATCTTAAAAATACTTAATTTTTCTTGCTTCGATTTAGAGCCAGAACCAACTTATTTAAGAAGAAATTACACATTCACGTTTAACTGTCCACACCTCATGATAAATGCAGCAGAATTAAGAGATTGTATTAATCAGTCTGGACTCTGTCCCGAAGGCGACATCTTACTTTGCGATAGGCTTTTCCAGAGGATAGAGGGACAACAACTCTCCTCCAAGATATTGCAGATATGGATGATTATGGAAGGAAAATTGTTGTAATAATTATCTTACACGGCATATTTTATTCTGGAATAAAGAGGGTTTTATATCACAAAAAATGATAAAATTTAAAATTGATTTTTCACTGAATTTTCATACAAGTTTCTACTTAGGGAAAAAATAATGTTTATTTATGCAATCTCATAGGATCATTTGGTTTTCATCAAAAATCATTTTAGGTTTGATACAAACAAACAAGTTTTGGTGCAACAGATGGATGATCACGGACAAAAGGTAGCTGATCTTTTACAAACAGGCATGTTTCTCAGTACCTGCTCCAATTTAACATGCGACTTTTGGAGAGATGTCGGGTGGAAAAATATCTGAAGTTTGTGCTGAAGGATCTACATTCTATCAGGTCAATGGACATCTAGTCTGTGGTATGCTTTTGTAGATATGAATCCTAGACAAGATTTAACACATGTAGTCTCCTTTGGAAACAATAATTGCTACTTTTTCTGTATTTCTGCTTGTGTAATTCGGATAAAAATATAATAATATATACGCATAAGCAAAAGCAAAGATAAAATTCCGTTATTAAATTTGTAAACATCTTGTTTTTAATGCAAAGAAAATGTATTGACTACAGACTGTTCAGATTATACAATATTTTCTAAATAGATTCTTTTAAATCTTTGTACAACGCGAGGAAAGGAACTATGTTGAAATAATGCCTTTTTATTGTTACAAAGCTAAGTGCGGACCAGGCTTGTTTTACGCCGAGAATACCTGCATCCAGTGTCCTGAAGGGTTCTACCAGGATAGAGCAGGTCAACAGGACTGTAAAGAATGTCCAGATGAAAGAACTTCCGCTGTCGGAGCATTTTCAATATCTCAATGTAAGAATCGTAAAATAAAAAAAATCAAAGATGCCATTGTGGTCTTCCTACAAAATAGCAAAATAGTTCATATTTTAGGCTTTGCTCAACAAGAGTCAAGAGAACTATTATCTGCCTTTGACACTACAACAGTGGTCAGTGGAGCTGTGGGTGGATTAGTTGTGCTGATGCTGCTTTTAGCTGTCCTTATTGTCATGATACAGTGGAGGAGATCATCTTTAGAATCCCTGACAAGTGCAAATAAATCCCATTATCCAAATCCAGTTTATGAGGATTCAGAGAAAGAAGTCATAACTTGACTCCTGACTGCATTTTCAGGAAAATGTTAGGCTAGTTAATGCCATTAACCAGAAGAATGTGCATCTTATCCATGAGAAACTTATCTATTAATGCGATCTATCAAGTTAATACAAAATTATCGCAAATGAAAAAAAGTTGAGTGTGGAGAATTTTCTTTAAGGGACATGGACACGGTTTCATTTTTAAAAAATTCAATTTATTTTTCCATTTTGTTATGTTAAAAAAATAAAAAACTAAGGGTTTTCTAATGATCATCAAAAACTTGAATTTTCGTTGTAGAGATACAAGGCAGATTTAGATCTCCAAACCTTTGTTTTGTAAATAGGGCTAGTGCCATGTGTTTGTTTACCCAGATTAAATATTTTAATATATATTCATACTAATTCTAAATACGATTAGACAGTTTCTAGCGATTTGCTGAATCTCGTTTTGTTAAAAATGATATTTCTTTATGTAAACAAAAACAAGACAAGAGCCTTGTTTACATTATTAAGAATTTAAAGTTCTGTATCTCCTTTGTAAATCAACGAATGATGTTCAAATTTTTGCTAATCATTAGAATTGCCTTAGTTAGGAATTGTAAACATTAAAATTGATTTTAAGAAATTCAGTTGAAACTGTGTCCATGTCCCTTTAGTAGTTTTTTTTCGCCGCCTGTTAAATTAAATAAAAAAGTAAAGAACTTAGTACAGATTTTCAAATATGTCTTAAATCTTATCATGAATGTGTACATTTTGCAGGTTCAACACACATATATATATATATATATATATGGATTCTTTAAGTCAATATGAAAATTAAAAAAATGATTTTTGTGTGATTGAAAATTCAAATCTTATACTAAGAAACCAATGATTGCTAATTTTTCAAAACTCAAACAAAGATGATACATTATTTGTTTATGCATAGAAGTTATCATTTCTAACATTTTCCTAACTATTTTGTAAATGTAATTTCTATATGTTTCTTTATGACTTACCATGCGCCAAAACTGACATATTGGGGGATTTTTTTCTTCAAAAAAGCATGAAATCTTTTTTCAACTACCATGTCTGAGTAACGCATTTATCCCAAAATAAAGTATACAAAACATGTATTGTCTTGAGAAAAATATTTTCAATTATCCTTTTGTCATTTTAAAAAATCATATTCAAAATTATGCTAAGTAAGAGAACATAAAATTTTGAATGAATGAAGAAAAAGATTCAACGAATGAAATGTATTAATAAGTTTATAAGCATGTTTATGTGAAAAATCCGATTTTGGATGTCAGCCTAATTTTTCATTTTCTTACAAAACCATTTATACCCCACCCCCCCCTTTGTTTTTATGATGCATGAATTTCAAAGGACTTGATCAATAAAGTGTTGAATGCAACTATTTGTTTTCCTTTCTCTCTGTTCAATTTGAAAATCATTTTTATGCATTCGTGTATCCAGAAAAGTCTACTTTAATATTTGTCCTTCTATGAAAAGGAAGTGCAAAACGAAATGTTACTTTTATGCATTTTGACTTTCAGTACAAGATACTAGTATACATTACTCTGAGATGAAAATACCAAATGTATTCAACTTAATCTTTTAATAAGGAAAATCCTGTTTCTTAAACATTTAAATTAAAAAAATCGGTTAGAAATTCTGTTCATCAAAAATCAGAGTAAAATTTGAGTATTTAAATGAAATATTTTGCCGCTGACATTATCGTTTTTTTTTTTTTATTCTTGGAGACTTTTATTATGACACACACTTCCGCTCCAACAACCCTCGACCTACGGATGTAACAATGTAAATGATGATGTGCCTAACTCGACAAACAAGTTTAATATCGAAGTTTTACTTTTTGCTTGCACTGATATGTGTATCCTCATGGAATTATACTTTGACCGAAAATAGAAACATTATTTGCAAGATATTTGCAATTGTTTTGAGTAAGGGTACAATGGTTACTTCCAATTCACATTAAAATCTGAATTGGAAGTAACCGCGACACTAATTTCCAAATGCATCGCCCTTGTATTTTGAATTTCTTTAAATTGTAAGACTCAAAACTGAAAATGCAATTTACCAATCAAATTTCCTGAATAAGCTGAACTCATTCAATGAAACATATGGTTATAACGAAGAATATTCAAAATCAAAATTCCATAAAACAATAAAAAACAAAAGCAGAGCACACACGGACCTCCTAAACATCAGAGTTGGAATCAGGTGCCATGGAGGACTGAGCATCCCCTGCCGACCGGTGACACCCGCCGCGTGCTCCTTGTCATGCACGGGAATTTAATAATGTCGTCAATTCAGTGTATAAATGATGAACTTAAGATTTACAAAGCTTAGAGTGTTTTCAAAGTTGCCTTTAATGTAATATTTACTCAATGAAATAAATTGCGTGGAATACCGGGGTATTCACAATTCATCCAAGAACATCTCCACCTGATCTGAAAAGATATCAAAAGATCATAACACTTTTGTGCATGCAAATGACCAATTTACAAGTTTTGTGTTTATTGAAAAAGCAACTGTTGATTTGTCAAAAAGCCTGGAATACAATTTATCATTGGGAATGGTTAACGAGTTGTGGAAAAGTCAAACATTTTGATGTTATTGATTTTGGTAAAATTTTGATTTCAATTTTTCTAAAAGTTCCTTTGGACTTTTAAGTATCCACATCTGATTTACACCACTTTTCGAATACACTAAAATACGATACTGAAATTTCTCCTTCACTGCGGTAAATACCTAGTGTGGACTAAAGAAAGAGGCTTGATAGGGCGTTAACTGGAACCCGTTATGTATAAGATTCTGTTTGAAGATTTTTTATAGAGATTTAAATACCTACATTTTAATTTGTTCCCTTTAAACCCCCAAGCAATTTTTGTGGCCCAACCCATCCATGGTGATTCTGAACTTCAATCTGCACAATCTTGCATTATAATTTGACTTATCTTGCACAGTTGTTCTTGAAAAGAATTTGACAGATTTTCCCACTATGTATTCCTTTGTAAAGTTCGATCTCAAAATCGGACACTGTCCTCTCTCAAGAGACAATAATTTGATAAAAATTGTAATTTTTATTACCAAGAGTAAGCAAGTTAGCATGTCAGTATGACCAAGCATTGGAAAAAAAAAATGGATGTCGTTTGTCTCTATGATGTACTCAGTATTTTCTTACATGAAATTAGATTCCCAAATAGTGTCTCGTCAGAGGCAAAGACTTTAATCTGCACTAATTGAAAATATTTGGACATCAAAATGACCATCATTGACTTATTAATTGGAAAATAAAGATTGTTTTCTACATCTGTAATGTTAAAATTTGCTTCCTTATTATGGCCCCATCCTAGCTCTGGGACAATATCTAAACAAACTATCAACTGTACTATCTGTGGATGCGTATATAAGAAGGTTGTTCGAAAAGTTCGTGGACTCTAGTCATTTCTTTTTCATTTAACGTCATATGCTATCCGAATTTGAAATATTTTAACAATAAATTCAAACGATTTGTATTAAGGATATCCGAGCCTCAGCCAGGAAGGATAACTCCAAAAATTGATATTTAATTTGAAATGCATCAAAATGAACCTTGAAAATGAATTTTTTTCATGTAACAATTTTCATTTTATTCATCTTTATAAGATTCAAGGTTTTTGGAAGTCTTAGAAAAAGTCTTATAAAAGTTGACATTTGTACCCTATAAAAGGAAAAAAATTAATTCAGTTTTAGAGAAATAGGTGGTTCTTGAATCCAGCCCTTAGATACAAATGCTTATTAGAATGATATGAAATAAGAAGTGATTTGTGGTGTCTTGCAATGATAGCAAAAGCCTTTTACACTATGTATTATAGCATACATGACGGAAATAAAAGACAAAAAATACCAAATAAATATAAAAATCATGAAAATTTTTCTGAATGCCGGGATACCTATCGTTTTTTAACCTAAAATATATTTGTTGATCAATTTCAATTAGAAAATACATTGCTGATATTCCAATTTGCTTTTTCTGCAAAATATTTGAAATTTGACAATTTTCCCTATATAAAATGATTAACTTAAATCTTTGACTTTAAAGAAATACTGTGGATAAATTTACATAACTTTGTGGATTCAGTACGGAAGCCCATTAGTGCCAACCTGTATATATAAAGGAAAAGCAATATATAAAAGCAAACCTCGATATATAAAGGAAATGCGATATATATAAAGAAAACCTGGATATATATAAAGAAAATGCAATATATATAAACAAAACTTCGATATATATAAAGGAAATGCTATATATATAAACAAAACCTCGATATATAAAAAGAGAAATGCGATATATATAAAGAGAAATGCGAAATATATAAACAAAACTTCGATATATATAAAGAGAAAAATTTCCATCGCCTGACCTTTAACATGTTTAATGACCCTCATAACAAGAGTGACTTCGCCAACATACGATAAACAGCTCCCGATTTAATGTTTTGATTGCGATCAGTTGGTGTGGCTGTTTCAGGATGGTATTCAGTGTGTTGTTTTCTTTATTTGTGTATCTTGATAATTATGATGATTAAAACTAAAGCTAAAAAAAAACTGCTGTTCTTCTTCATGTGCAAAAATGATGTTGATTCTTTTGAAAAAACTATGTACATTTATCTCTAAAATTAAGTGTTGTCTGTATCTGCTCCACTGTATCATATGTATATATGATTATTTATGTTTCTGTACCTTGTGTACCATTTACAGTGTGTTTATTTATCCAAACACAACAGAATATAATTAAGAGTTCCAAAAATTTTATTAACAATACTATTTAATATTTTACAAATTTGCCTTGAGGGCTCATGCAGCTTATACAAGAGAGATTAAGTCAATCTCCCAGCATTAGAACCAGGTACTAGTTACATAACTGTAGTTGTTTACTCTGAATCCTGCAGGCTGAGGGCATCTTGCCTATGTGAATATATGCTCACTAGCAATGGATGGCTGAATGCAAGAAATGCTTGCCTAATATGAGGACCTGAATGGATTGAACATAGAGTAAACAACTGGAGTCTAATCTTAATTGGTAAGAAATGCTCACCTAAGATAGACGGCGTGCTCCAACTTATGTAACAAGCACCTGATCCCAATGCTGAGCGATTAACTTCCCATAGTTGGGAGAAAATAATGAGATATATAAGTGTATATCATTATGTAAATGGCGCATTATTGCTCATGAACCCTTTTATGTCTAGAACCATCAATAATTGGAAGGTGGAAGGGGTTGGTGGTGGTTACTGAACTGGAAAAATATAAACATCAACACTGCAGGCACGCTAACTTCAGCTAATAGAGAAATCCTATTGGTTAATTTTATCACGTGGTTTACACGAGGTACAAAAGGGACACTGTTTTATGCATAATAATGATATTGTATTTGGAAAATAAACAATGATTATATACATAATCAAAATTTTATTTATCCAAACACAACAGAATATAATTAAGAGTTCCAAAAATTTTATTAACAATACTATTTAATATTTTACAAATTTGCCTTGAGGGCTCATGCAGCTTATACAAGAGAGATTAAGTCAATCTCCCAGCATTAGAACCAGGTACTAGTTACATAACTGTAGTTGTTTACTCTGAATCCTGCAGGCTGAGGGCATCTTGCCTATGTGAATATATGCTCACTAGCAATGGATGGCTGAATGCAAGAAATGCTTGCCTAATATGAGGACCTGAATGGATTGAACATAGAGTAAACAACTGGAGTCTAATCTTAATTGGTAAGAAATGCTCACCTAAGATAGACGGCGTGCTCCAACTTATGTAACAAGCACCTGATCCCAATGCTGAGCGATTAACTTCCCATAGTTGGGAGAAAATAATGAGATATATAAGTGTATATCATTATGTAAATGGCAAAAATATGCAGATGGTACAGCTGCATAGTCCCCAAGTATGGGATGTAAGTAATTTAGAAAAGGAGTGAAAATGTGGACGTGAGACAATTAAAGATGGATCCAGACATATTAAATTAAACTATGAATACATTGAATCTCAACATCGTTAAAACAACATACATAAGTGTTTTTCATCTGATAGAGTGCATGTATGTATCTTATAAAAAATGAACAACATTAGAAAGGTCTAATATCAGCAGTTTAATGTGATCAAACAAAATGTAGATATGCATAATTTCACTTATCAATAACTTCATCAATATCCTGTATGAACGTAGAGAGTTTCTGTACATAAACTTTTCATGTAAGCTAAAATCAGTTCTCTAAACATCAATCATATGTACACATCAACCTTACCTAGGACATTTTCTCTGAATGAAAACTAGTAGCCATACTAATTTGTGCATCTCTAACTACATTGGTTGGTGTTCTTATATACCTATTATAACAGTCCGATGACCATCTTCCTAAAGTTTTAATAAGATGGTCTTCTATCCTAGCTGATGCAGCAGATGTTGCTGCACCGATACGAAATGAGTGACCACTGTATTTCTCTGAATCAAAACCTAGAACTTTTAAGATGTACTGCAAGTGTTCAATAAAGTATGATCTTGTTACAGGTAGATTATCTTCTGTAACGAAAAGAGCTTCTTTAGGTCCAGCAAAGCAGAATTTTCTCACCTGCATGTATTTACACATAGATTTTACTGGGCATACCTTTGTGTCATTTGAGTATAATACAATACTTGAACCCTTGTGAAAATGATCTGTTTTAGAAGTCTTCAAAAATATCTTAACGCAATCTTCGTGAATTTGAACATCTTCACAGCATAAATGACAGCATGGATCAAATTTCTGTTGTATTGTCAGTTCACCACAACGGAAAAATCCGAAAAAAGCTGTTACATACATAGCTTCTAACAAAACATTGGTATAATATTTAAACATGCAATTCCTCAAAACTGTACAAATTCTTTGCAGTATGTGAGCTGTAATAGGCAATCTGACCCTATTTTTTTTAAATTGATCTTTACTTTGCACTTTTCTAATTGCATTTAAAATTAACTTCAATCGTTCCATTGAGTGACATTTAGACTGAAAAGGGTTTGGAATTCCCATTTCTAAAAACATGTATCTGATTCCACACAAATATAATCTTATTGTAGAAAATTTAAGCAACAAGTTATGTTGGCAATATGCAACAAAATGTACAAGTATATCTTCAGATATAGGTGGACATTTAACATCATAAAAAACACCATGTATTGTAAGAAAATGTTTATATGTCTCAAAACCTTGTTTGTAAGTTAATCTTGTTCTTTCTGTCACGGAATTGTTCATCAGTTTTTGAACCACTTGTCCGAGTTCCAAATTACTTCTGATACCGGTGGGCAGACCATCGGATTCTTCTCTGCTTGAGGAGCCGCCTGCCTGAACTTCTCCAGCTGTAAGCGAGACAAAGAGTCAGCTATAATGTTTTTAATTCCTGATACATGTTCGCT